CTACGTCGCCCAGATTTCCTTTTAGAAACCTTGTAACTTTCCAGATAGATTGCTTACTTATCACCAATACACCTGATTGCTTACTTATCACCAATACACCTGATGTGATGGAGTTGATCAACACGTCTACGAACGCCAAGAAGAGTCAGGCACGAAACGACTCTTGAAGGTTAGTGGTCAGCGAAACAATTCTGAGCCAGCTGATGTGCCCAATGTTGTATTGCGGTAAATTAACAAACCAAATTAGTTTTACTTGCCTGGAACTGATTTCTCATGAACGGTTCCTGCCATTCGACGACTTTACATGTGAACTGCCAGGCTTAGGAAAAATCAAAAGACACCTCGAAGCCACCATTCGCAAAATTCAACAGTGCTAGTGGTTAGGACAGGGCAGCTATCGCATTGTGATAAATGTCCGCTGAATACGACCCCCTACCCTGAGTCTCGCTACGGGTTCCCTTCCCCCAAGAAAAAAAAACAAAAAAGGACAAGAAGTAGATTATATCGAACAGTATGCTTGAATTTTCAATGTTCGAGCGCATGCAGAGCATTCAAAACCTCTACTTCAAACTTCAAGCCTTTTCACTGTTACACTCGACCAAGCTATTTTGCGATGTGTGATGCAAAAAGGGTCAGAAACTCGAGAAAACCCCTTTTTCTACTATTCATAACTTTCTTGGGAATGGACCTTTCGAAGAGAGAAAAGCAGGGTTGTGAAGGCTTTGGATTGCAGTTTATTAAATGTGCTTGAGCCTATTCAAATACTATTGCTTAAGGGACCTTTCCCCTTGTGACGTCGTTGCATTTTGTGGCTGCCTACGAGTTTTCTTGCTTTGAACAGCCATAAATTTCTTCAGGTGTGATCTCTCAAGAAGACGAAAGCAGTGCCGGGATTCGAAGACTTCCCATTCCTGAGAAGCACATTACTTGTTCCTCATGCTCACTATTTGAAAAATTTCGCCCTTGTGGTTTTGTTGCGACAAATTTCCGATGAAGCGAAAAATCCACCTCTCCGTGCAATATCGTACCCAACTTGTCTTAAGGATTGGCAAAACTTCCAAAATATCTTTTCGTCGATATCATTAGGAAATAGTCAGTTGATCGACATGCCCACTGACATGCGCCATGCATCCGACTCTCACGCAGAGGACACCTTCACAGTCCTGAGCTTGCAACTTGCCTCTCTGTCTTGTGCTGTCTCTTCAGGTGTTTATCACAGCGAGACCCAGAATTGAATCATTTGTCAATCTACGATTACAACATCTTGGCATTGCTGCTCTTCCCATTTCTGAAAAAGCCTTGCGCCAACACGCCCACCCCTCCCCCCTTCCTACGCCACCCCTTCTGATTTCCACAACGACGACGTGCCCTTGCTAAGGAGGTGCCATGGTTCACAACATGACATTACATCTCTCCTGGGGCAGCGCATGGATCATAATAGTGTTTGGTATATCTTGCACAAAACCCGATAGAACCTGATATTATTTACAATTACTGTGAAGCTACGATATGTTCTGATGCCATATTGGGCAGAAAGGCCCACAGACAAGTAACAGCTTGATTAGGACAAGCCTCAATAAACCCTGCAGTGAGCGGAAGTATGGTCAGCAATTACGGTATCAGATTAGAGGGGATCTATGGGATACAAATTCGTGCTTCAAAGGCATATATCGCGAAAAACGCTAAAAATTCAATAGGCGGCCGGTCGAAAAACAGAACTGTGTGCTATAAGACTTGCTTGCAAAGAAAAGGCAGACAAGCCATCGAAAGCGCCCTGAATACGGCTCACTCCTTTTCGAAAAAGTGAATGTTCGTTGAAATATTTGACGCACGAGACATGAACAGCGAGAGAGCCTGCAAAGGAGCAAGACGACAGGCTCCGAGGGGTCACTGATGATTCGACGAGGTCGCTTGAGCAACCTTGTGCTCTAATGTCTCCATCTCGATTCCTTTCCGAGCGAAATCTGAACGACACCGTCCGTTGCGCTCCACACTTCCTTTCTCACCCCAGAGCGTCGATTATTACAAGCGATCACAGAATGCGAATTCAAAACTTGCTTAGCGAGCCTTGCGCATCGGCCAACTATTATTTCATACTGGCTGGATGCAAGGTAATGGATACGGTACGAGAAGCTTGAATGTTCCTACCCACGAAAAGAATGGCGTGATACGCCCTCGAAACATTCTTGAGCTATGTTCATGACTTTCACCTTGGAAATTTATGACAATTCATGCAATAGCTCGAGGACAAGCCGACGCTATCAGGTCACAGCATCTGATACCACCTTGCGGGACCTATTCGCGGCGAAGCCAACGCCCTGCCCACTGCCCTTCCAGACGCCCAAGTTCCATTTCTAAAGGCCTTCCTGTTGGTGCGATTGTTCCACCACTAACTGCCTCTATTTCGAATGATGAAAATGAGACGTAAGGTGTAAGAACTGACACCAACAAGTAACAACTCGGCCCACCCCGCCCATTCGTCACCTCTTGCAAGTACAAGTCGGTCCAGCACGGGATTCTATACGGAGTACTTCGGCTGTTTTTTCTGCCTTTTTCTTCCTTTCTGTGTTATTTATCATCTTGACATTGGTAT